CTCAAAGCAATTTTGAATCATTTTGAAGTTGTGTTATGTTATCTTTACATTTCAAGACTGATAGGATAGGACATTTTAAGTTCCTGGGATTGCAGTCTGTCTTTGCTGTCTGCTCTGGGATGGGCTCACTTTTCATTCTCAAAGAGCACAGGCATAAGACTACCTGCAAAAAGGGTAGGAAATTTTACTGTTACATTGAGATTATCCAGCCTAGTCACCCACTATTACACTATCATGAGACAAGTCAGGTCTAAGCAGCCTGCAGCTAACGCACAGGTCTAAACTATATCCTCCACCACTTCAATTTACCACCCCAGAATACACATGTGGCAACTTATGTGGTTGTACAGCTACACAAATTCAAATAGACTACTTTGCCTGATTGATATCTGGTGTATCAAAATCCTGCTCATGTTCAGCCTTTTTCTGTTTCCACTTATTATTGCTGATCCTCTCCAGTGCCTTGGAGATGTAACAAATACTACACTTTTCAATATCAAGGACTTCTGCAGTAAAATCTACTAATAATGCACCACAATAAACCATACATAAAGACAGACTCTGTGACACCATGCATACATTTCCTGAACAGCGGTTTTGAAGCTCAGTGTGGTGGCTCTGGCTGTCGCCATCTTAGCAGTGCCTGCCTCCTTCTAACTCCCAGCTAATCCAAAAATGAGCAAAAATGTGGAGCGTGAGTGGAGCTGAGGTGGGCTATACAAATGTCTCTGGGGCCAGTGACTGCATGAGAACTGCATCCATCAGTCACTCAAAAAAGCCACGCCCTTGACTGAGTGCACCTTAAATCCACCCCTCCTACAGTGGTCACATACAGGTAGCTATACAGACACTAATCATGTTTGTACCAGGCTATAAACATGTCTATTTCTGCTGTAAAGTTGTCTGTTTTATCATGGGGGTCTATGGAGACCGACTCACTTTGGACTAAGCCTCAAGTGATCATTTGTGGTACTGTTTTTGGCACTTTTGCACTGACTTCCTTTTTCTGCATCTTAGGTTGCTGCTTGTTTATCGCCAGCATCAGGAGAGGGAAAGCATAAATGTAACTTTATTCTCACATCTCACTTGAGACTGGTAATCTGAACACTGTCCTGTCTTCAAGGACTAACTCTATTCCTCTTCTTCTCATTGTAAATTAAAAAAATAAAATAAAAATCCAGTCATACGCTCTTCATTAAGTCTGTGACTGGACAATAGCTGTTCCTATGCAAAGCTGATTGCTGACGTCTCAAGAAGAACTCTGACAACAAAACCAAATTAACTGAAAGAAGAGTCCTTGCAAATCTGGCGTTGAAACTAAGGAAAAAAACAAACTTCATTTCGACATTAAATGCAACATGTTTTCTCCAACTTTAAATGTACAAATTTCATCAGTCTATTAACTGTGATTCATAATAGTATTTAGGTCAACAGAAACATCCAAAATGCACCATTGATAAGAGTCAAGCTGTGTCATTTAGAAATTCCAGCAGTCCCATCATAGGTTGTTACTTAAACCAGATACTTGGTAGTCAGTGCTCTGAATTACCCTGTACACCAAAATGTGGGGTAAAGGTACCTTGTTTTTATTTGGACACTGACTCTTATTGACTAAGACCATTTTTAACACTATCTAGAAATATCTAGCCTATACCAAGGAGGTGAATCACTAAAATCCAATGCTTAATCATCCTAACAATGCGTATGGAAATGAAATATCCCTATTTAGAGTGATGACAACTTCAGAGGGGACAAAGCAGTTTTTACATTTGGGAACAAGGTGCAATTATTTTACATTCATATTCCTATGTGAACGTTTAGGAAGAGAAAACCAAAGACAGCGAGAAAGCTGAAGTAACATATTACTTAACATTGCTGTGGGGAAATCGAGTGCCTGCCCTGTGGCATGTGATCCAACACATGACTGGGAGGCTGTGGAGGGGCTGCTTCAGCACTACTAGACCACAACAGTGAAAACTGATTCATCCACAATGTCAGGTAAAGTGTAAAACCAACTACCCCGACGTAAAGAATGGATGCCTGCTGCCAGAGTAATGTTTGTTAAAAGCAGCAAGGAAAGTAGTGCGATGACGCACACAGAATAAAGGAGGCAAGACATTTACAATCGACAAAACTTAAGTGCCATGTATCAAAAATCTAATTAAAGGAACATTCGTACGGTCATTAGCATCAGAAATGTATGAATTTAGGTACATAATAGGTACTTGTAGGTGACGTCGCGGACAACTGTGTTTTTCATTAAAAGGAAACCAGCTGTTAAGCACAAACACAATAAGTTACAGCAGACAGTCAATGTTCAACAGGACACCTCTGACCTGACACATCTCAGCGTAAAACGAAAAACTGAAGCTTCAACTCTTCGCCCAACAGCTAGCTAACAGTGTTAGGAATGATATGAGGAAGTTTATTGACTATTAAGAGCTTACTATCAACAGGCCACCAATATTCCTTGAAAATGTTGGCTGTATGTCAGGCGGGCACAGGTGGACAATAAGGCCACGGTCATGTGACGCTAACTTAGCTCCATTGCTTACGTTAAGTTATTTGCCAGCAATAACTTACTTGATAGCACATTGCTAATCCTAGCTAGCTGAACAAAACGTTACACATCGTTCTTAAGTATGATACTTACTATTCAGGATTCATTGTTGACTCGTAGTACGGCGTATACCCTTTCGTGAAATGTCTCCTTTTTGTCTGTCCGCAGATAAACAGCCCCGGTGAATAAAGAAAACGGGAGCGATAGCTAGCTAACACTGCTCCCAAAACAACGGCCAGCTAGCTGTTTCTCAGTAAAAATCCAAAATGGCTGCAACTTCAACCAGGAAATAGCTAACATTAGCCAGCGTGTTAGCCAAGTCAGGAATAACACAAAAATGTGGCTTGGTTTTTACGGATACTTTTAAAACAGACTTGAAACACGTTCTTAAATCGTAACGCTACAGCGAACCAACAGGGGACAAAGGTGGATGTCTAGCTGGCGGAGCTTCCCTCTTTTCCTCGCTGAGTCGTTTGCTGCAACAGAGCTGTCAAGCCCTGTAGGAGGGATTACGTCATTTAGTGAAACGTGGCAGAGAGGAGGCAGTTAATGTCAAAGCACACACGTTACACAACGTCCGGACAAAGACTTCAACATAACCCCCAACAACCTGTATATTGTACAATTTGCTTGTGGGCGACAGTGGGGCTTTTATCGACAAGGGCATGAATGTAACTTCCACTGACACTCCTCTTGCATCTACCGAACTTTACAGCAGCAGTAAGTGGGTCACTTTACCACCAGGTCTCACTGCACAGCTTGGTCAGCAGCGGAGTTCATTCCAGCTGACATTTGAATTAACCGCGGTGGACAGTACCGAACGGTATTCTTGGTGTAAATTAAACACCATATCAAAAATGATCAGTATAATGCATTCTATGGCACACAGTCTCCCAATAATCCAGAAACTTCTTGAGTTCACGTGCGTGCCATGAGTCATGGCTGTGTCATCACTCTCTTAAGAAACAGATAATAAGATCACTGCTCATGTCAGCACCTGTACACAGATAGGCAGGCTGCAAACGAGTCAGTCCAAGTCGAAGTTACTGCTTCTTTTTTTTTTTTTTTTTTTACCAAAGATCTGTGAGTTTGATTCACTCATTTAAATTTAGTTTTTTTCCGTAGCAACAAACAGCTTTGTTTGACTTTACATAGACAGACATCAGTCTTCAAGGAACCATTTTATTTTATTTTATTTTATACCCAAGCATTCTTGATGGTTTGCATGTAGACTGTCAGAGGATTCCTTCACTGAAACTTCCAAACTTAGATGATGTCATCCACACAAAGCAGTATACACCTCATTCCTGAGGAAAAATACAAACTGGTAGCACAGATATGCAAAACTATTTGATTCTTAAGGCCTTAAAAGTTAAATCTTTTTTCTTTAATACAATTAACAAACCCCAAAAAACCTAAAGTTAAAATGCTGAATGGGCACACAAACATTTATAAAGTATGACGCAGACCTGTGGGGCCTAGACTTCTGGCAGAGGGGAAGGTACAAATGGACAGATAACACTGTATCAAAGGCACTAAAAGTAAAGTGAGGATGCTTCCAAATAAAATGGGATAATAATTTTCATGTATTAGTTCACTTCATACAACGTGCAATAAAGAGAGAGAGAGAAAAAAAAAACTAAAGTCAGTGTGTAGTTTTTGTTTACCTGCATAAAAAAAATCTTGAATTTCCCCAAGGAGATGAATAAAGTATCTATCTATCTATCTATCTATCTATCTATCTATCTATCTATCTATCTATCTATCTATCTATCTATCCATCTATCTATCTATCTGTCTGTCTGTCTGTCTGTCTGTCTGTCTGTCTGTCTGTCTGTCTGTCTATCTATCTATCTATCTATCTATCTATCTATCTGTCTATCTGTCTGTCTGTCTGTCTGTCTGTCTGTCTGTCTGTCTGTCTATCTATCTATCTATCTATCTATCTATCTATCTATCTATCTATCTATCTATCCGGTCTCCAGGGGTGACAGTATACTGACAGCAGATTTTTCATAGTAACAGTGCGCAGAATGTGGTGGGAGATGTTACTTTGAAGTATCTCTAATGCCATTTTTTGGTACTGCAACTGAAAGCACCACTACCTCAATTACATTCCTCTCTATTGTACTCTATGTATTCTATTTTTTATCCCCCCTCCTTTGGGTTGGGGGGAAGGTTGGTTCCTTCCCAACGTTGCCAAACACTTGCTCAGAGGGAGTCCAAAGGCTACTTTGGATTGTTGGGTTCTCTGTTTAAATTTTGTAAGGTCCTTACCTTGCTATGTTAAGCGCTGTGTGATGACATGTTGTAAACAAATAACTAAAATTGAATTGAATTGGTCCAGGCAAAAATCCCAGCGACCTAGATCTCCCAACCTGGACATTAAAAACCAATACTATCTGGCTGGAGAGAAGAAGAAAAAACAACATAATATATGTTTTGTGATTTAAGTGAACTGATCCTTTAATATAATGGTCAGCGATAAAACAAAATTGACAACACATTAAAAAACTAGCTGTTGTGTTATGCTGGCAATACAGACAATGGCCCCCTGTCCTGTACATATGGGACCCTTTGTTAAAGGAGCTGATAAGAAAAGTCACTGATACCTGTGAAAAAAAAATTGTTTCTAAAAATGCATACCATTATGTGTGAGTAGGCATACTGTACAGTTCAGTGCAATGCAGTGTATGACTATAACTGTCAAGTAACTGGTAAGAGATCACAGTGTGAGAAACAGATGTAAAGCTGATGTTTTGAAAAAGAGTGTATAAAGGTCAGACACAGCTGTTCATGTCCTCAAATGCTGAGTCAACTGTTTCATATCACAAAAGTGTGTCCATGCACAATTATGTAATAATATTACAACTGTACAACTGGTTAATTATATGTGGTGCATAAATAAACTTTAAATAAAAAAGGAAAAAAAATGCTATTTTATTATTACCAAAACTGAATTATTTCTTCTTCAACCTTATTTTGTCCTAAGATGTTAAAAGATCTCTGAAGTGATCATTTGTCTTTCGTCTCTTCAAAAAAGTGTCATACAAACTAGACTGGAATGTGAAAGGCAGTTGTACTTAAAGACCCGTTGAACATTCAGTTTGTCACTCCTTTAGAAAAGTCAAGTATTAATTTGTTATCAATTAATTTATTGTTTACACCCAGAATAATAAAATACTATTAATTTGCCTGTTAAAGAAGTTTACATTGTCACTTTGTACATTGAGTTTTAAATGTAAATTTAATGAATGCATTTGACTTTTTAAAGCTGAAAGCAACCTCCTGACTTTGGCGTTAATAATCAGATTAGTATTTGGCTGTTAGAGCAGCAAATCTTTTTGATTCATAGGGTCTTACTTCTCAGAGCAATGACAGACAATTGTTTTGCCCTACAAAGCCAAAATGTAGTAACTTCTGGTTTGATCAAAGCTGAATTATGGCCATTAACTGACTTTTTGACCTCTTATCTTGCCATAAAACTTGTTGGACCACCTAGAATGTGTCATTTGGAAGCACATGTGGCACATTGCAATGACTGCATTATGACTAGTTCAGGCTAGCTGTTAGCCTTAGCTAAAGCTACTTTAGCCAAACGTTACAAACCAATTCTCTCAGCTTTGCTTTATATGAAGCCTCAGCAATTGGGTTTGAGCATGACTCAGTTTTTCAACACTGAGCATCAAATCTGTGTTGTTGATGTTTTGTATTTAATTCTTGGGTTTTTCATATTGCATTTTAGGTATCTTTTGTTTAGGATTGTATTTTGATGCAGATGCATTATTTCCAATTGAAACTGAGGGCCTGTATTAAGTTGGAAAGCATAATAGTGACAATAAGAATGAGTAGAAAAAGACAACAATATGAAGACAGAATAGAGCATTCACATAATCCTTTACAGTGTTATGGAAGCACTTTGAGACCCTGTACCAGTCTTGAATATTATTATTGTTATTTTTTTTAATCACTGGTGCTTTTTGTGAATCATAAACAAGACCCCTGCATTTGAAAACATAGTTGTGGAAATAAGTTTAAAGAAAGAAAAGACAAATAAATCAATATCTCAGACATGCCTTGCAATTTGTTAACAAAGTAGAACCCTAAACCTCCACAGGGCTATCCTCTCTGCTCTGCTGAGTCCGGCTGTCCATTGCAGACAGGATGCAAGAAAAGAAGTGTTCCATGTGGATCTGCAGAGCTCCAGACTGTTTCTCAATCAGCATCAGGCTGTCTCTTAAAACTGCAAATAAGAATACAGAACGCAAAGTAGACTCAGATTCAGTGGGAAAGCAAAGATGAATCAAAAGTTTTCAATTCAGTTTTTGTTGTTAAAGTTTCATGTGGCAGACTGACGTGGAGAGGTACTGTTGATGCAACTGAGGAGAAGCTGTCCGGTGTGCAGAACACAGGAGGTCAGGGGCTGATGGCTGCTCACCTCTTTCTGAAAGCTCTAACAACAAGACAGTCAGATTATACTGTAGACAGAATAGACTGTCCATGAGGTGGACACTTTTTACATTCGGGTTGTATTGTTGAATTCACGTCATTGTTTTTCCTGCTCCACTTTAAGCAGTGCTGAATGATTTTAATTGCCTAAAAATCCAGATGAGTACAGATCAATATGTGGTTTTTCACTTTTTTTGTAAACATTTGAAATGAAAAATGACTGCATGTTTGCTATTTTGTAATTGTATATGTTTGTCCACAGTGCTACAAAATGCACAAACCCAGTGGAGACAGCATGAAAGAGAACAACTGAAACCGAAAATAACAGATACTGAGCAGATGCTATACTGTCAGGTTTATCATCGGTACATGCCTGAACTAAGAGTAACCAAGAAAATTATGGGATCCAGCAAAAAGAGCCTTTCTGCATAAGAAACAGAAATTGGTGAATTTTCTTTCACTAAACCCACAGAGAAATCCTACACACTAACAAATGTGGAAACATGTCCACCAGTGCATCAGTGATGGCATCTACATCCACCTAACCGTCTGTTTAATGCCACTTTATCCCTTACAATATACAAAATATAAATTAAGCACTGTAAGATACTGAATTGTAAGTAAATGATTATAAATAATACAGGATTTTGAAGCTCAGTCCTCACCTGATACTCAGCCAGAGATGACTTCACATTATCTGTGTCCCCAGTGGCTGCAGCCAATATCTCCATCTTCTCTGAGACTGCATACAGCTGCTGGATAAGCAGCTCCAAGTGTGAGCAAAAGACCTGGAACGTATACAACATTCATTGCTGTTTTTACTAAATCACGATCAATGTTGTGGAAAATGTATCCCTGCAAGTCTAGTTTTCAAACTGTCAAAATCGTGTATGTCCTTGTGAAGGCAGTGTGCTCTACTGCATCATCTGCCACAACATTGGTTTTGGGTTAGCAATCCACATATATGACATATTCTAGATCGATATGTACAAAGGCAAACATAAATCTAAGGATTTGATCATGTTAAACTCATGCGGTGTGTACTCAGTCCCATACACTGCATGTGTTTAGAATGTCTGGGTAATGTGAGTGCAGGAAGTACATTGGGGTCTGCTTGGAGCTTGCTTGGAATTGCGATACAGTTTCCTCCAGTAGAATGCCTTTTCTTTCTTCTTTTCCTTCTCCATCAGATTTGACCAATTTGAACAACTTTTTAGCCAAACAAAAGGTAAGCCGGTAACATCTGTAGCAGGAACAAACAGAATGCGCTCCCTACAAGATGGGATCCCTATGTCAACATGCAACTGCAACACCTGTTTCGAGTAATTATGAATTGGCATGGATGAATTCAAAGCAGATAATAATGGACCAGTGTCAGAAGATCCTTTGGAACGACTGGAGCCTTGGGTGAATGAATGACAATAATGAACACCACACACAGTAATGGCATACGAATGATTATATAAAAAAATAAAATAAAGGAAATGTCAGTGTGAAATTCAGATACCCAAAACAAATAAAATTAGGGGCTGCAAGGTGGCGCAGTTGGTAGCACTGTTGCCTCGCAGCAAGAAGGTTGCCGGTTCGTTCTGCGTAGAGTTTGCATGTTCTCCCCGTGCAGCGTGGGTTCTCTCCGGGTTCTCCGGCTTCCTCCCACAAGGTCCAAAAACATGTTGAGGTTAATTGGTGATTGTAAATTGTCCGTAGGTGTGACTGTGGGTGTGCTTGGTTGTCTGTCTCTAGGTGTGGCCCTGCGATGGACTGGTGACCTGTCCAGGGTGTCCCCTGCCTTCGCCCTAAGTCGGCTGGGATAAGCTCCAGCCCCCCCCGCGACCCTAGTGAGGATTAAGCGGTGTATAGATAATGGATGGATGGAAATAAAATTAGACCACTTAAGTGTGCACACTTGAAAAAAAAAAGAAGTTCTTTCTGTCCTTTACTGAAAGAAAAAAAAAATCGTTGGGACCCAGTGGGTGTGTATATCCGTTCAATGAGGTCCAATGAGTCAGTATAGATGAGTACTTTCAAACCAGTGTACAGTTAGTGTGGTTAATGCTTAGTTCAGGGACTGGATCGCTCTCTCTCACTCTCCCTCGGTCTAGGATCTCCAAGGTGGGTGGCTCGCCTTCCAGCTCACTGGAACTTCTGGTCCTGCTCTGTTCTGTCCAATTCCTTCCTTCACAAAAACCTGACCTAATGGATAAGGTCATAACATTTCCCTCGGATTACTATTTGGTTACGCTGGTATCTCATCTAGTCAGCAGGATATACAACATCAAATTATAACCCAGCATCATCTCTTATAGAGATTCTTGACCCCACGTAAACCACATTGTAGGAGGACAAGCAAGTATTCCCTGCACCTCTCAAGGCCAGATTGTACCCAGGCGCCGACTTTCTCATCCTACATCAACCTCTTCCAGAGGTTAGCCAGAGCAAAAACAATCAAATGGAAACTCGACTTTTATCAGTTGCTTGCTTTGACAGAACACTGATTTAAATAGATAGTGAGAGAGCTGAAAGTTAGAAAAGAAACAACTTCACATCGGGTGGTGATAAGTTTATGTTCAATTTCAGTTCATAATGAATCGCAGTAAGTGAGCTGTTGTGAACATGCTGTTGATCCCCCTGATGATGAAGACCTGACATCACTGAAAACATACCACTGGGTCATTCCATGCCAATTCTTTTCCCAGTTTATATCATGTATTTTTTTTGACAAAAAATTTGCAAAACCTTCGACCTAAACTATGGAATCTTGCAAAAACCTACAGTTTTACTCCAAATATTTTTTTCAGTTATGAATTTTGGAAAATAGGCCCTCGGCGTTCAGTTTTATAACTTCAGCGATTCTTTTATAGCATCTTTAAAGCCTTGCCATTGCTGATTCTTCACAGGATTTGGCTGATTTTTATACTGAATATCCCAGAAACGTCAAGAAAAAGTTGGAACTCATAATCATGTAAATAGCTTGTGCTGATTTTTCAGTGATAATGACAGAAATTAAAATAACAAAAAACAAATTTATCATCAAAACAAAAAATATGTATATTTTTCAAGTTAGTCATGTTAGTTTTGTCATATCAAAGTGTCATTTGGTGCAACATCAAAAACTGACTGCCACAAGTCTTCCTAAAATTTGCTTCGAAGTTGGAAAATCCACTTTTTAGGACATTGCAACTGTATTTTTTTTCAAGAAGGATTGTTTTGATTTCCTTGAACCTTTTTGAAGGGAAAATCTTCATATTCATTGAAAACATATTTCAAAATTAAAGCTGTTATATTACTCCTTCATTATTTAAAAATTGTGTTTTTGCCTGATTTATTTTAAGAAAATCAATGACCTCAGCTGGAAGGCCCTAGGTGAGTTGGCATGGAATGACCCCACTGTGAAAGTGTTACAAAAGACAACAGGCTGATATACAAAGACCACACATCCAAATGGCTTCACCCTCGACACTGCACTTCCTCAAGTACCCAGCAACACAGTCATTAAGTAAATCAGATGAATGGTTACCTGTATGTGTTGCATCAGAGAGTTGCTCTGCTCCTGGTCCTCCTGGCTCACCCTCTGTCTGTCAGGCAGGGTGAGGCCACACAGCTGCTCCACCAAAGCTTCCACCTCCTTCAGACTGGAGCGAGCTGTTGACAGATGGGAGATGGAGGTTTTCAGTGCTGTGAGTGGCACAAGCTAACTTTACTTCATCTCCATGGTACTAGTCTGGAGGCTGATACCTTCAAACCTGGACATATGAAACCACAACTGTCTGCATAAAGAGAAACCACTCGGGAAAAAGACAAAAAATATCTCTTGTAATACGGGTGATTTGACCGTTTAAGAGTTTACAGGCCCAGGATCTGAACATCCCTCTAAACCTCCAAACCTTTTTCAATGAATACCTGTCTGAGCAGCACTCCTCTGCTCACTGCCCCTCTTTTTCCCTTCATCTTTGTCATCTTTGACCTTAGCCTGATTCTTCTTGTTTTCAGTCAAATGTCTCCCAGACAGGTCAGTGGAGGAGAAGATGGAGGTGGTGCCTGGCTCCAGAGACTCCCAGCTCGCTGTGGCCGGCCGGCTCAGCTGGGCTGTCACCTCCCTCACCTGCACACAGGAAACAAATGACCATTTGGATTACTGATTTTTGAAACCCAACTTTCCCCTGTGTATTCACTTATGATAAATAATAATAGTAATAATTCATTTTAGATTTGTTTAGTCATTGAACACAGACAGTCACGAATCCCATCTGTTAGCTAAAATACATTGTTTTAACTAAGCTGCATTTATTATATTTAACTGAAGGTCTAGTTTTGCTTTAACATTTTTTAAAGGTGTATTTGAATTCAAAGTTGGCCATATATTTCATTCTACACTTTTAACTTTTAATCTTCCCTTGATTCGCTGTAAGCAGTTTTGAGGTTTTTAAAATCATTGCCTTGATGTTTCATCAGTTTGTTCTAACTTTCCATCTGCAGCTGCAACTGACAGCTCAGTCATGCTGAAATGAACCATCTTTGCAGTTTTTTTAGCTAAAAAAACCCTGAAAGACACACTGTGGAGATATGTGATCCTTTGATAAATTTGCTGAAAAGGAGCACAACATGGGACCTCTAGATCTACTGTACCGACATACATACTTAAACACGAGCTTTGTAAGGAGCATCTTTTCTCCTTTGACAAATGCTTTAGATTTTCACACCTGAGTCCTTATGTCTCCATCAGGATGCAGAACCACTCAGTATTTTATTTAAACATTAATTAAATGTTATTATTATTATTATTATTATTATTA